AAAAAATATTATCTTTATCTTGTTATGGGTTAAATTTGTAAATTATAAAAAATATATAATAAATATTATTTAATATATATACAACAACATATTTTTATACATATATATTAATTTTTTTTTTTCAAAAACACATTTATAAAAAATAAAAAAAATAAAAATAAAAATGGTGAATATATTTTTATAATATAAATAATAAGTTATTTCATTTATTTTTGTTAATCCGATTAATCAACCGAATAATCCAACTGTTTCGGTTCAATTTTATGTTAATATAACTCATGATGCGTATTATTGATTGTCAGGATGCACACTATTGTTAGACCAGATGCACATTAATGTGTTAGAGATTGCACATTAACATATCAATTAGCATTTTCACAAAATATAATATTTTGATTATTTCAGCTCGAGTTCGGCTTTTTTTACAAAATAAATAACTAAATAATATCAGAATTGACCAAACTATACAAAAAAAAAAATATATTAATTTTTTTTATATTTTATCTTTATATAAATATATATTATTTATTTTAATCAAACAACATTTATTAACTAATAAATTATAAATACTAAAATAGTTCAAAAATAGTTACTCTTCAAGTGCGCGTTAGTGTTTGTCGTACACTCGTATAGCACATTACTGAATGTCGGATTGCACATTTGTGTTATACGGATTGCACGTTAGTGACTGTGGGATTGCACTATATCCCACCGAACGTGGCCAAAATATTTTTTTGGGATCGAATTTTATGTCGGTTAGATTATATATATTTACTTTCAAAATTTTAATACAAAGAAAAAAAGGGACCGACCAAACTAAATAAATAAATAATACTTGTTATATTTTATATAGAATATAATTTTGCAATAAAAAAACGTCAGATGAAAATATTTATGTGCAATCTACATAAAATTAATGTGCAATTTAATTATCGTTAACGTGCAATTTACATAACATTAACGTGCAATTATTAAATATTTTATAAATTGTAAATGTAAGCCATTAATTGAACTGGAAAATATTAGAGTTTATAAATTGCAATTGAGTCCCTTAAACATATCAAATTTAAAAAAAAAACAATTGATAAACAACATTGCACATTATGCAGCTGTTAAATCTTGTAATTTTTTAATTTTTTTACGTGCATATACATACACGCGAGTGTGCAATTTCCTTATCGTTAATGTGCAATATAACGGACACCAACGTGCAGTGTTTTGAACAGTAAATTGCAATAGTGTCAGACGAATTGCACTTTAATGAAAAATGTTTAATGAAAAACTGATTGCACAATAACGGTCGAAACCGATCAAGCTAAAATTTTCGGTTCAAACTTTATATTTCGAGACAATTAATTATTTTTTATTTGGAGATGCATATTTAGACACAATATTGTGCAATTCATTTATCAGTATTGCGTATTTATTAAACTTTTAATTATTTTATATAAATATGACAATAATATTTAAATGTGCAAATCTTATTTATTAACTTTTAACTATCTTATATAAATATGACAATATTATTTAAATGTGCAAATCTTACTTATTGAACTTTTAATTATTTTATATAAATACGATAACAGGTGTAGTGGAGTAAACCTACTTCCTTCGCCTACCAATATAATTGATTCTGACGATGAATTCATGGATGAGTTTGGGCTACTGGAGATGAACTCTTTACAACAAATATACAAACAATAATGAGCATTTTATTATCAATTTTGTGCATTTTTTTTTAAATTTTTATTAAATTATAAATTTTACCCATTAACTAAATTGGAATTTAATTAAACTTTCTTAATTTGCAGATGAGTCCTTAGAACTTATCTAATTCTCAACACTAAACCCCAAAACTCACAAACACCTCCCGCCTCCCCGTCGTCTACCCAAATCTCGCCGGAAATACTACCAATCTCGACCGTCGGATACACTGTGATTACCACGAAATTTAAGCACCCCGGCGGAGGCCTGAGAATATTGCACCATCGCGAAATCGTATCTGAAATTAAACTCGATTTTGGAATTAGAGTTTCATTAATGGTGTTGATTTTTTGTGATTGAGATTTTGATTCAGAACGCAGAGTCGGAGGATAGTACAAGAAGCGCCATGGCGACAGTGCTGGTGCGGCAGATGCTGGCGCCGGCGATGTCGGCCGGAAGTGGTGAAATCGACGGTGCATATAGAGATCAATTGGCGACATCGATTCCTCTGTGAAGATGAAACGGAGGTAGACAGCGTGAAAAAGACGTCGTCGACAGTAGAAAATGACGAGCTGAGACGGGCGGCGACGGGAGGCGATGGGCGGCGGGGGTGAAGATGTGTTTTGTTCGTGAAGCCTGTGAACTCTGTGTATTTTGAGAGAGAGAGAGAGAGAGGGGGGGGGAACACGGTATTGGGATGGGTGGGGCCCATCATGTGGTGGATGATGTTTAATTGGTGTGATGACAGTTTTACCCTTATTGAAGGTCAAATGTATAAAATTGACTATAATATGTATACATATTTACGAAAATGCCATTGTCAATTATTAAAATTTGAATTAATCATGATTGTTGATTTGCTGGATCTAATGGTCCATATTTATTCTTATTTCTTTCACTATCTACCATTCTCATATGATCCCAACTCTATATATATATATATATATATATATATATTGCCTCTCCAACGCTCAGTCCATCCTTCTCTCATCAATCTCTCAACAACTCTCAGTCCCCCGAATCTCTCTCTCTCTCCACAGCAAGAAAAGATGGATTCGTCCGCGACCACAACAATTTCTCTCGTCGGCCCGCCGGAGATCCACCGGAAGTCTACCCCTCCCGCTGCTGCCACCGCCCCCGCCACCACGGGAAATCCGTTCATGGACCTCATGGTGGCCAACTATAATAAGACGGCGGTCTCGGCCCCCCTCCCACCCATGGGCTTCACCGAGAACTTCTCGCCGACATTCCTTTCCTCCGGAAACCCCTGTCTGGACTTCTTCTTCCACGTCGTCCCCGACACGCCGCCGGAGGCCCTCGCCCAGCGCCTGAAGCTGGCCTGGGAAGACGACCCGCTGAAGGCCCTAAAGCTCGTCTGCAACCTCCGCGGCGTTCGCGGCACTGGTAAGACAGACAGGGAGGGAGGGTACACGGCGGCGCTGTGGATCCACAAGAACCACCCTAAGACCCTCGCCTGCAACGTCGCCCCCCTGGCCAAGTTTGGCTACTTCAAGGACCTCCTCGAGATCCTCCTCCGCCTCGTCGAGGGCCCCGACGCACGTACACAGGCTAAGGCCGCTTACCGGAGTTGGAAATCGAGCGGCTCACGCCGGGCTCGCGAGCTTGCCAAACGCCGGCAGGCCAAAAAACCCAAACAGATGGCCCCACGATATGGCGACATAAGGAAGAAGACTCACGGCCGGATGAGGAGGACATCCAACCGGCCGAGCAACTCGAATGACCAGCCGAAACTAAGCAACGTGGAGAAGAGGCTCGAGCGGGCGAAGAAGGCCTTTGAGAGATTCAGTTGCGACCCGGATTACAGATTCCTCCACGACCGTGTGTCGGATTACTTTGCCCTGTGCCTGAGGTCGGACATGGAGATGCTAAACTCCGGCCAATCGAACAAAATCAGCCTTGCTGCCAAGTGGTGCCCCTCCCTCGATTCCTCGTACGACCAGGTCACTTTGCTTTGTGAGCCCATTGCCAAGAAAGTCTTCCCTAGGTCCGAATATCCCGAATACGAATTAGTGGAGGAGTTCTTGTCCCTCTTCGTAAGGCCCTTGAGCTGCCGGAGCTCTACATGAGCGCGAAACAATGGAGCACACTCCCTTACAACAGGGTATCCTCGGTTGCCATGAAAATGTACAAGCAGGTGTTTCTCGAGCATGATGAGCAGAGGTTCGGAGAGTATCTCAAAAAGGTCGATAAGGGTGAAGCCAAGATTGCCGCCGGAGCATTGCTTCCGCACGAGATAGTCTCCGGACTTGGAGACGGTGACAACGGCCAGGTGGCAGAGCTTCAGTGGAGGAGAATGGTGGATGACCTGGCGAAGAAGGGGAAGATGAGCAATTGCCTAGCCATTTGCGATGTTTCCGGGAGCATGTATGGTGTCCCGATGGAGGTTTCGGTGGCTCTTGGGGTTTTGGTTTCGGAGCTTAGCGAGGAGCCTTGGAAGGGGAACACTGATTCAAGATGTCGTGGGATCGAGTTTGGCGGAGAAGACGAATTTCGTAAGGAGGATGGAGTGGGGTACGAACACTGATTTCCAAAAAGTGTTTGATTTGCTTCTTGAAGTTGCCGTGGCTGGGAAGCTGAAGCCCGATGAGATGATCAAGCGGCTTTTGGTGTTTAGTGACATGGAGTTTGATGAGGCGTCTGGCCACCGGTCGATGGAATATTACCACTCGTCTTATGGTTATTTGCCAAGCGTTGGTCGGACTCCCATGAACACGGGAAGCACGTGGGAGACGGATTACGAGGCGATTGTGAGGAAGTTTGGAGAGAAAGGGTATGGAGAATGTGTGCCGGAGATTGTGTTTTGGAATCTGAGAGATTCTCCGGCGACTCCGGTGGCGGCTGGGCAGCCGGGAGTGGCGCTTGTGAGCGGTTATTCGAAGAATATGATGAAGGTGTTTTTGGAGGAAGGTAAGATTATCAGTCCCGAGGCTGTTATGGATCAGGCGATTGCGGGCAAAGAGTACGAAGAGCTGGTTGTGGTGGATTGATTTGGGCCGTATGGTTTTGATATTATGATATGAATTTTTAGAATTGGCCAAAAGGGTTATTATGATCATTGCTCTGTTACTGTTAGTTGGATATTATATAAATTGAAGTTTAATATTTTTTTCGTTATTCTGCTTTAGTATCTATATATCTTTTCTTGTTCTGTTTGAGTTGATTGGCTATATATTATTATAGGTTTTGATAATCTGCTGTGTAATTTAGAATTTGTCAAAAGGGTTTTGATCATTGCATTATCAAACCGAATTTGGAGGATCTGTTTTAATTATTATTATGATTAGTATTATTATTATTATTATTATTATTATTATTATTATTATTATTATTATTTTTTTTTTTT